CCCGGTACCAACTGACCACTAAGATCAGGGCCAGTGGGTTTCTGGACCTCTGGTTCCAGACCACAGACTGTGTCCCGTGGTTGTGAAATGGACTTCATTTACAGCCACTAAAAGATTCCTAGCTTCGCTCAGAAACATGTTCCGACAAAGGCCTCGCTCCTGTTCACAGGGTGGTTTGAGGGCGTGTCGCGGTTGACTAACGCATGGGCCACATACGACTGGAATCCAGGCTGTGGGCTTGTATGACTCATGGGGGGGAAAGCCCATATAGCTATGCGTACAGCAGGGGGCGAGAAATCTAACCATACCGTACGTATCACGATATATATTGCGATACGATAGACACAATGATATATTGAGGTTTTTTTTTTTCACCCGTGTAACTGTAGTCAAAGTGTCATCATAGTAAAGACTCAAAGACTTAAATACTTATATATGCAAATATATACAATCACCTAGTGGTCAGAGGTTTAAATGCAACATAAAAAAAATTAGCCAACGTGGTGAACATTTGCATCTTAATCGTTAATAAAAAAAAAATCATTATCGATATGATATTGCAAAACGATACATTGCCATATTTTAGCCTATCGGTTTTCTTTCACCCCCCTAGTGTTCGATATGACGGCCCAGAGGCTGCTGTGAATTTGAAGTTTGTTCGTTTTTGGTTATATTTTCGGGGTGAGATGGTTCTCGACATCGCTGACTGCACTCATTAACATGCTCTCACCTCTTCCCTCACCTCTTCCCTCACCCTTCTCTCCACCCTTCCCTCACCTCTTTCCTCACCCTTCTCTCCACCCTTCCCTCACCTCTTCCCTCACCCTTCTCTCCACCCTGTGCAGCAGAAGCAAAGTGTCGGCGCAGAAGACGAGGCCAACCAATCAGAGACCTCGGGCCGTGAGTCCGACAGTCAGTACGGGACCTGGGAGACTGGACTGCGCACCGATGACAGGTCAGTGTGTTTTTACGTACAACAGAGGGCAGTATCATCCACAACAACTCGTACCCAATTTTACCCATAATTCCAGCTGCGTATGATGTCGTCGCCGAGTCGTTTGTTTACCAGACGTTTACTCTTTCAGCCTCACTCCGGCCACTCCCAGCTCAGAGAGCAACCTCAGCCTGTCGCCCAGGAAGGCCACTCCCTCCTCACAGTCAGGAGCTGACACTCTGGACGGCCTCCTCCCCCCCGCCACCACCGCCTCCTCCCCCGACAACCAAACACTTTCCTTCCCTGATGTAAGTGTCACTCAAACTGGACCACAGAAATACAACCACGCCAGCATCCGAGTGTTCCGTGTCTTTATCCCCCTCCTCCTCCCTCTCTTCCCCCCACAGGCTCCCACTACTCTGTTGGACACCAGCGCCCTTCGCTCACGAGCACAGCTGGGGAAGAGACGAGCTCCGCGGTCACGGCCGACCAGGGCTGTGAGGAGCAGCACGCAAGGAGGAGGAGAAGGAGAAGGAGAAGGAGAAGGAGCGACCTCCGAGGACTGGCTTTACCAGGACTCCACAGGTGACCGGCCGTGACTGGAGTTCTGTGAGTCTGGTTACACGTCGACAGGTTCAGGTCTTAAAGACTCTTTTTTTTTACCTCGACAGAGACAAAAAATGAAACCAAGGCGTCCGACTCCGACTGTGAGGAGCAGGTCAGAGGAGCTGCTCCCTCGTCCCAGCCAAAGAGGACTCCTCTATTTCCAGGCATGGATCCTTCTGCTCTCAAGGTTAGTGCGTATTAGGGATGTAACCTTATAACCAACTTACGATACGATTTGATTCACGTTTTTTTTTTAGCGTTCTGTTTCAACACCTTAACATCTCTTAGCCTACGTAGGGACCTGATGTCTGGGTTTGATAGTGGGTCACAACAACACTTTTAAGAACCATACTGCCACCTACTGTCTGGAGTGTGTACTGTCATGGTACGACCAGGGGAATTTTTGCGATAACTCCTACAGCCTACTCCTTACACCTTCATGTGAGATTATTTTTTTTAATTCGTTACATCCCTACTCTGACGATAGCGGTCCAATAGCGGGTCACAACCAACGTTTTTAGGAGCATACTGCCACCTACTGTACCGAAGTGTGTAGTGTCATGGTACGACTAGTGACGTTTTGAGATACGCCATGATGTGAGATTCATTTTTTAAATTCGTTACGTCCCGACTCCGGAGGTGACGGTCCAATAGTGGGTCACAACCAACGTTTTTAGGAGCATACTGCCACCTACTGTACCAGAGTGTGTACTGTCATGATACGACCAGTCGAATTTTTGCGATAACTCCTACAGCCTACTCCTTACACCTTCATGTTAGATTAATTTTTTTTTTTTTTTTTTGAGATTCATAAATTCCTTACGTCCCTCCTCCGGAGGTGACGGTCCAAACAAACGGTCAAATCCAGGCGTAGCAGAAATCAAAGAAACTAGTCCTAGTGGGACTCGAGCCAACTTCCTCTTTTTTCTGCAGAACCTGCTCCACCAGTTTCCACCGAGTATAAAGTTCAGAATCTGTTTTTGTTCCTAGGCTCAGCTGAAGAAGAGAGTCGAGGCAGACGTTCAGACCGACGGGGCCCCTCCCACATCCTCCCAGCTTTCTCACTCACCCAAGTCTCCCTTCCTCCCTCGAGCGAAGCGTGTACTGCCCCCAGCTGGTGTGAAAGAAACGGGGTAAAGGATACAGTTTGTTTGTTTTTTCTCCACAGCTGTTTTCAACCATTTACTTTCAATTTCCTTGTGTTTTCCTAACACTTCAGAGAGGAGCGCTCCCCCCAGTGGCTGAAAGAGCTGAAATCTAAAAAACGTCTGAGTCATCATGAAAGTGAAAGCTAAAGAAAATGAACAAGAGGTGAGAAGGTGAGGATTTTTTCAAATTATCAATATTAATATTAATACTAATATTATTTTTTATTTTTACTTTTACAGATAAGTTTGAAACTGAGGCCTTAACCTTTGACCCGGGGCGGGGATGGGACAGCTGCTGTCGGGTTTTTTTTTCTTTGTCATTTTTGTTATCGTGTCCTCTGGGCTGATAAATATCGCATGGTGCCTTTTTTTTTTTTTTTTTTTTGAACGTTCATTATCTGTCGTACTGTGTGAGTGGAGAAAACAAAAACTAAGCCCGAACAACATCAGGGTCGTCTCACGCTTTTGAAGCTGTCGGACAGAGTGGAGTTCAGACGAGGGACACGAGGGACAGTTTGGGACCACCGGGGGAGCCGGTCTCACTAAAGTTTGTCATTCCGTGATAACATTTCAGATATTTTTTTTATTATTATTATTATAGAGAACAAATCAGGAACGATGGACCACTGGAACAGAGGACTGGAATGGACTGGGGTGATGGTGAACTCCACTGAGGCTCAGGCCGACCGCCCTGCTCCATGGCTAACGTCTTGCTTTGTTTGTTTTTTTTTTAAATTTTATTTCTATTTTTTATTTTTTTAAGACCAGAGGGAGACCCGATTTGTGGACTACAACTGTGTACGTGGATTCAAACCCACTACCAGCATGGCACCGTGCCCCCCCCCCCCCCCCCTCCCCCAGGGAGGGGGCACTGACGGACTCTAGCACACTACTCCAGTGAAGCACACGGGGGCGCTTTACTCGCTACGTTGTTTACAGAACTCTGCCATGTGTATCACTCCAGGCAAAGTTTCATGTCTCCTTAACGAGTCGGACCGTTAAGCACCCGCGCGGCGGTGCCAACGTTGGCCCTCGACCCCCTCTGGGTCTACGCTTCTGTGAAAGCACTTTGACAAAGCATTAAAGCACTGACCTCTGACCCCCGACCCCCCACCCCCTGTAGTCCCCTGTACAGTTGGATTATAAGTGAATGTGTTGATAATCGTGGAGGCACTGCCCCCTGGTGTCTTTGTACATAAACATTTACCTAAATCGGAACAGTTGAGGGTTTATTTTAATGCTTTTTTTCTTTGTTTTTATTTGAAAGTCACGATGTATTTGCACTGTGTTGTACTCGCCAGTGTCGCAAAAAACAAATACATTCATAATAAAATTTACTTTGATCAAGTTGTGTCTCTGTGTACTCTGTGTATAATATAGTATAAATATGGTTTACGTTAAAATAAAAAAACTGAACCTACAAGTCGAGTATAAATCTAAATCGCGTTAGTAATGTACCTTTCACTTCCCACCAGCAGGTGGTGCCACACAGCTTTACACGTGTCATTACGTTCAGGTTTGGGGCGAGAAGGAGACGACGTACCGCTTCGTCACAACATGGTCCACATTTCGTGTTTATTTTACGTTGTCTAAAGCAGAAAACCCGACATTTTTTGTCTCCTTTTTACCGAATAACTTCCCGGACACTGTGGTCATCGACGGAGCAGGTAAAAAAAAACAATTCTGTCACAAACATTAACTTTGTCTTAGCTCGGTTAGCGGAACATGCTAACGTGTTTGCGTCCACTCGTGGTTTTAGCTTCTATTAGTTAAATATCGATAATCTGGTTCGTTATAGACGGACGGTGACGTCATCACAACCTTGTTTTTTAATCAGTCTGAACAGTGACATACAAGGTGAACTGGAACGAGTATGTGTTTAAATAAAGTGTTTTTGTAGTTTTTATATATCGACGTAAATTAAACAACGTCACCGACGGAAATTACGTGTTCTGCAGAGCCGCCAGGTTCCTGTTTATCTGCCTAAAACATTCGCGCAATATATATATATATATATATAAAATATAAATCTAAATAAACAGCATAGCTTAAGCTATAAAGCAGCGGCCGGTATCGACGGTTACAAGATTTTCAAAATAAAACTTTTATTGCTTCCGTTAGTATCGGAATTTCAATGACATTACTTTGAAATATTGTTAGATTATCTTTAAATGAAGAAAGTTTATCTTTCTCTTTTAAAGAGTGACCAGTTCTGGTCCACGGGCCGTGGGTTGGGGACCCCTGCTAATACTAATGATAACTCCTCTTTGACTTGTGGGTATTTTTTTATTTTTCACCATTTCCCTCAGAGGTCACGATGCCCGTCCAGTGCAGCTGCTGCGGCGAGAAGCGGGCCATGCTAAAACGTCCGAAAACCGGCCACTCGGTGTGCAAGGACTGCTTCTTCTGGGCCTTCGAGGAGGAGGTCCACGAGACCATTGTGTCGGCAAAGCTGTTCCGACACGGGGAACGAGTGGGCATTGCTGCCTCTGGTGGGAAGGACTCCACGGTGCTCGCTCACGTGATGAAGGTCCTGAACGAACGCTACGGCTACGGACTTGAACTCATGCTCCTCTCGGTGGACGAAGGAATCACCGGTTACAGGGACGACTCGCTGGAGACCGTGAAGCGGAATCAGCAGCAGTACGAACTGCCACTGAAGATCGTCTCGTATGAAGAGCTGTACGGCTGGACAATGGACGCCATCGTGAAGCAAGTGGGACTGAAGAACAACTGCACCTTCTGCGGGGTGTTCAGGAGACAGGCCCTGGACCGAGGAGCCATCATGTTGAAAGTGGACAAGATATGTACCGGTAAGTTCCGAACTTACGGGATGATCTCTCTTGACGTCTCTTTCTCGACTAATTATAAAGGATCGTTGGGTTTGGGCAGAAATTGTATCGTGAATTTTTTTTTTAATCGTATGGTGCGTTGAGTGTATCGTTACACCCCCTGTTGTTGACCAATCACGATGCGATGGAAAAATAACTTTGCTGCTTGTCATTGTTTTTCCCCCCAGGCCACAATGCCGACGACGTCGCCGAAACCGTTTTAATGAACGTCCTGCGCGGGGACGTCGCCCGTCTTCGCCGCTGCACTGCCATCTCCACTGCCAGCGAAGGAGAGGCGGTGGTGCCGCGCTGCAAGCCCCTCAAATACGCCTACGAGAAGGAGATCGTCCTGTACGCCTACTTCAAGAAGCTGGACTACTTTTCCACCGAATGTATTTATTCGCCCAACGCCTACCGCGGCCACGCACGCACCTTCATCAAGGACCTGGAGAGCGTCAGAGCCAGCTCCATCGTGGACATCATCCACTCGGGAGAGAACCTGTCAGTGCGGGAGGGGGTGAAGATGCCGGTGCAGGGAACCTGTAATCGCTGCGGCTACATCTCCAGCCAGGCTCTGTGCAAAGCCTGCGTGTTGCTGGAGGGGCTCAACCGTGGCCTCCCCCGGCTGGGCATAAGCAAACATCACCGACTGCACGGGAAAATCCTCGCCCGGCAGCCGCTCACCGAGAAGGAGGAGCGGAAACTAAGATCTGAGAACTCCTGACCGTTTTCCTTCCACCCAAATAAAAGCAATGTTTTCCGGATCCTGGTGGCGAATTGTCGGCAAAAAATTGTCAATATACTTTTTGATTTTAAGGATAAAATGTATTTATTTATACGAATAACAAATAAAAGTAACTAATATGTCCAATATATTTTTTAATGTATCATGATTCTGTGAAAAAAAACGGAAAAAAACGCACTTTCTACTGATTACCGCTAGGTGTCAGACAAACCCCGAGCAAGGAAAGAGAGACAGAGCGATAGAGAGAGAGGGAGCGCGCGCTCCGACGAAAGTACACGTGAACTCTCCTGCGCGTCCACGAGAGCGACCCCGACCAAGTTTCTGCGAGGCAGTTTAGAAAAGTTGTGGAGGAAGAAAAAAAAATCCCGACTTCAGCAACAAGTTCCGAAACTCCGCCGACTCACAGCGAAGTCCTCGAGTCCTCGAGCGGACGGCCGTCATGGACGACTTGGGTGAGTTTTCGGGCTGTTTTGAATCTCGGAGCGGACCGTTTTTTAGCTCCGCGGATGCTGT